CATCTGCTGAGAAAAAATGTCTTGGAAAGTCGCATCCTCTACTTGAAATTCCCCCTCTTAAAAAACCTTCTGCCCGTTTGATTTCATAATATCCCATTCAGATTTTAAATGGTCATGAAGAAGAACATTCTTCAGCTTAACTTTATCTGGAACTCATCATCATTTCATCAATGGATTGAAACAATTTTTAGTGACTGGAGAGTCAACAAGCCAAATTTATATCTGAGGTAAGCACAAGCAGCTTCAAATAAGTCATGAGAAGTCTGAGGCAGACCTTCACAAAGAAAATAAAACATTATATTTGCAGCCTTGTGCTTCCCCTTCATTGATCTCCTCCCCTTCTTTTTGCAGGCTGAATACAAACCAGGGTTTTAAATGTTTTAATAGAATCATGATTCTTCCCTGGCTACAAGAAGAAGAAATGGCAAACTGCTTTGAAGCAGATATGCTCTTGCAAGATTTTCAACCCCTCTGTGCGCCTAAAACACTTCTACCCATACCTAACACACAGAAGCCAGCTTGTTCCTGAGCATGGAAGGGTAGTCAAGGAGGCAATATAAAAATAAACAGCAGTCCTTCACCTCACCTCCACCTTGCATCCCAAAAAAAAAAAAAAAAAAAAAAAAAAAAAAAAAAAGACACGCTCTGAAATTTTCACATGCTTCTTTTCTCTGTAACCTGATATTTTCACCTGTCTTTCTAAACTCTGCTCTCTGTTGTTCTTTGAGAACAGATTGAGCTAATCTCAGACTTACAATTTTCTGACCAGTGCATTCAACAAAATAAGGTTCTGTTCAGAGTTAACAGTCTTTTATCCTAAGAATGTTATTACTGTTAGGCCAAAATATTGATGTTCTGGGTGTTATCCACTTAAAAGTTTATATGAATGAGAGCTTATAAATGCAGGTCACTGTGGTGCTCATGCCCTTCTTTCCCACAGCAAAAACAAATAGTAATTAACTTAGTTTTCTTTCCCCTTTTAGAACTCAAGTTTATTTTTCATGTCCAGCATGGGTTTGTCTGTCTTTCCCTTTTTCATATTAGGCTTTTTTTTATCGATTAAGTACATTTTAATGACCCCATGGAATCGAAATGTCTTTCACAGTCCATTTGAATAACAATAGAGTTTCACTGTCATATTACTGCAACACCCAAACTGCACTTTAGAATTAAATAAACAGCAGTCTATCAAATCCACAAGGTTTAGGATACCTGTAAGTGTCAGGAGATGTTAAAAGTTGGAAGAAACAACAAAATGGATTATGAGAAATGCTAAAGATTCTAATACTGTCTGAACATTTCCTTTCCTTGTGCATATGTTGAAAAGAAAGTATTTTAAAATAAATAAACATAAATAAACTGGTCTTCATTACCACAGGTTATATATTCTCTTTCTACTTTGAGACTTTTAAACTATTTTCTTGATTGTGAGCTCACTTTAGCATGCTGTCAAGACAGTAACTTTGTACTTAATGGTTTATATTGAGTCAGATGACATTTCACATATCACAAATTTAAAGCATTTTATGAATGCTGTACTTTTTTTATCGTATCCTTGGTATTCCTAAGAAAATATTTATTATTAGAAAAACAGGAAATCTAAAAATTATTTAAGACTGGTAATTACTATAGCCCACATAATTTGAAGTACTCAAGCAGTTAAAAAGAGGCTATGAATTGTCACAGACCTCATACATTTTATCCTGCCCTCGTAATAAACGCAAATACATTTTACTTCTGATTCATCATTGGCCACAAACAAAACATGAACACACAAAGCCATTATCCAGATAGTAAAAATTAGCATAGCAACTGAAATGTGAGTTGAGCAATGATGATTTACACCATCTGTGCTTACAGCCCATTAGCAGTTCATTTCAATAAAAGTGTACCAGCCTACAGACAAGTGACTAACAGTGAGTAAGAGCAAAAAGTAAGTGAGGTGGGTGTTTATTGTGACAACTATCTTAATTTCTGGAATGTGTTTGTGATTTTTTAAAAAATGTATCAGCTTTTTTGGTTTTTTAAAATTTATATATTCTCTCTTTGGATATATTAGAAAGTGAGAAATGTTACTAGTTAAGTTTTTCAGTTGCTGTAGATTTGTCTTAACTTGATGTTTCTTGTGAACAGTATTTCATTATTCTGTTTACTGATGACAACATGTTATTATGGTCCTTTTCTTAAATAATATTTATTATTATCTCCAATTTCAAATGCCTCCTCAAAACTTCATCTTGCTGTTTCATAGAGAAGTGGCTTTACCATCAAAATAGTAACTTCTTTTTCTAAGATGACTAGAATTTTAGCAAAACCCCCTAAGCCATCCCTTGAACCAGAAATTGTTGTTACTTCTTCCTTTGTCTTTTCACATTGTCTTATGTTATATATCTCATCTATAGCCTTTGTGTGTGTGTGTCCCTTAATTGCAAGCTAACCAACAAGCTTTTGTGCAAGTGCTTAATTTTAATAACTGCCTGTGCCGGTAAGCAAAGCAAAAGTTACAATTTCTTTTCTGAGGTGCAAGAGAGGAGAGGGAAAAGGATGAATTAGTGGTTAGATTTGGAATTTAAGAGAACTTGGTTAATTTCTCTGATCTGTAACCATCTGGTATACTACCTTAGATGAGTTACTTCATCTCAATCTTACATCCATAAAACTTGGTTTCATAATGCTACTCTGTCTCACAAAAGACTTAGAAAAATAAAGGGTAGAGATAGGAATAATGCACATTTCTATTGAGTAATGGATACAGGGTTTATGAAGTTACAGGGAAGCAAGCAGCTGATGCTCTCCTTCCTTTTTTCTCTGTACTTTCTGCTACTCCACTTCCTGTAATTCTTCTTTTCTCTTTCATTGCTTCAAATCACTCAATGTTTTCTTTCAGAGAATAAGAATATTGCTTCATCTTGTCTTGTATTCCATCTCAAACCCCATATCTGCATCAAACCTAGACCCCTCCACTTGCATTCCACCCCCAGCTTCTTGGATGGGCTGTGAATCTGGCAGTCCTGGAAAGCTGCAGGGAAGTAGAGCTATGAAAACTACCTGCAGTGACAGACTAGTAAGGCTATTCTCATTCAACCATCTTCCAGAGGGATGGAGCTTCCAAGGTCTGATGCACACATGGAAGGGAAGAATCACTGTTTGCCCCTGAGCATTGCTACTCACCACCCCACGTCTCTGATGCCTGCATTTCCCATGCTGCTCAAATCCCTCCTCTCTGGACTGAGCTCTCAGATCTCCCACTGATCTATATCCACAAACTTCTCTCTTCTGCTCTTTCCTCACCCTCGGTCCTACGTCTTCCATAGCTACTGGTTTCCAAGTCCTCACGTTTCCATTGCTGCTGTCCCACAAACCTGTGCTGCTCTGACTGCTGCACCCTGCTCTCCGTGCCAACAAAGGAAGTGGTATCTAAAAATGCTACAAATGTTTCAATGTATCTCAGCAACACTTCTACTTTTAAATACCCTGAAGAACAGTCGGTAGTAGCTATGTGTGGTACAGAAGTCTGCTCTGAAAGCAGATTAGGCCCAACCTCCCACTGCCCCTGAAACTGTCCATGAAAAAGTCATCACCTCACTTCCCATCTAGTGACTTGGGTTTCCCCTAATCCGCTTCAGTCAAAGCAAACCAGTGCAGCAGACTTCTACTATTTAAACTGCTTAAACTGCTATGGTTGACTTTGGCCAAAGCTAATTTGGGAGGGATTGAGTGAGCAGCTTGCATGTAGGGAGGGGAGGTGGTAGCCTTTGGCAGAAGACAGCCATGACGGTGACTGGGAGCTGTGTGGGAATGGTAACTTCTTCAACAACAACACTTCAGCCTATGGAGGAAGTGAGCACCCACAAGGGGATTTTAAAGCATGGTAAATTCTGTGCTTATAGTTCAATTCTCACTTATTTCACAAGAGGTTTCCCTGGCAAACCACTTCTTTCCACCAGCAGGAACCATGATGACGTTACTCAGGCTGTCATTTATCTTTTCCCCTGTTTAATCACTGCTAACTGATTAACCAAATGAAGTGCCACAAAGTCCATTAGCTGGAAAAGGAACAAAAAGCTGCACTAGCTTTTAGTAATAAAGAAAGAGAAACCTTTGTAAAAAAGGTGCATGACCTCCCGCTTTTGAAAGTACCCGGCTATAGCCCCTCCCTGGCCCCCGGGAAGAGCGGCAGTCAGGGGTGACACAGTTACAGCCACTCCTGCCAGAAGTGAGGCTTGAACAGGCAGGACAGGGGGGAGTGTCAAAGTTCAAGGGCTGTGGCGTAGCCGGTTGGGTGGCCACCACAATGTCTTTTGCCCTTGTTTCACCCCATATAGACACTTCGGATCTTCTTATCTCATAATCTTCATAAGGAGGCACAAGAAAGGAACGCTAACTTTAACTCTTTCAGTACCATTTTCTCAAAAACAAACAGTGAACTTAGGCCAAAACGTTCATCACCAGAAGTGCAGCAAAATACATTTAATAGATTGACAGACTTTAAAAACTTGGGGAGGGGAAGTCAGCAGCCAGGGACATCAGCAAAGCCAGGCACTCTCTCTCCCAGATGGTTCAGGTGTTTGCCAGATCAAGGCCTGACCCTCTCCTGGTTTGCACCTGCAGTTCAGATCCTTTCCAGGAGCTTGCTGCGCAAGTGATAGGGAGGAATAAAAAGCAGGAGGGGGGAAAAAAAAGAGTTTCTCTAGAAGGGGAAAAAAAGAGTTAAATGATGTTAAGACTCTGACATGCAAAGGAGTTTCTGCTCCTGCACATGTGGCCATGGCCAGCTGAGGGATGTCAGCTGCCAGCACGGTCACGCTTTGGACACTGCAAAGAGAAGGCAAAGGATGCAGCTCCTACTCTCAATGAAGCAAGGTCTGATGCTGCTGTGGTTGAGTGTTCCCGACTCCTTCTGTTTGTGTCTTGAGGTTAGCAATGAACCTGTCCAGTTTCACCCTGCAATGTTCTCCCAAATCAGACTTTTGGCTCAAGCTTGGCTGAAAAGAAAAAGTTATTCTTAGTAATAATTTCAATGTGCAGGAATTAATTGTTATACCACTGTTTTTGTCACATCTTTTATTACACTAGGAAAAGAAATATCCTGACTTTATACTGAAAAAGCTTTAATTTGCTGTTCTAGTACAGACTTTTCTGCATATATCTTTTTTTAGCTAAAAAGAATATATTTTCAAAAGATCACAAATACTTCTTATTGTTACAGTTTTACAGTCAGGAAATTTTCAGTCTCACAATTTAAACAAAACCCAAACCTGTTACGTAAGGTGTTACTAAGCTGAGATGAGAAAAGGGAAGAGAGAATTGAAATGTCTTTCCTCCTCACCACGCACCTCTCTCCACTGCTCCCCACTTCTCTTTGTGAGCATAACCATGCTGGAACTGTTTGTTCCTGCAATTTTCTGGAATGAAAGAGCTGGGGCACTGGCCGTCACCTCCAGTTTCTCTGGCACACTCTCTGATCCCCTTCATCAAAATGGGTCACTTCTAGCTCCGTTAACCAGCAGTTAATTGTGCAGATTTTTAATGCTGTGAGCACTTTGGGGGTTTGAGAAAGGCATCTTTGGGGCCACTGCTTTATTGAGACAGAAGGGCAAAACTGCTTTTCAGCTACTGGAAAGAGACACGTACAAAACAGTGAACATCCCAATGTTAACTGCTTTATCATAATTTCTTCACTGCTTTTGATCTTTTGTCTCTGTCGTGGAGCTTGGGCTTCTCTCTTCCCTGCCTGCTCTGCACTCCCTCACACAGGACATGACTGTTCAGTACAAGTGCCAACAAGGCGTTCTCATGACACAGCTCACAACTCCTTCGCACGAGGGCCTTCATCAAGGTGGTTCTTGGTCAATATTGGCAGGATAGAGCCCCCTCTCTGCCCAAACAATTTACTGAGCTACCTTTTTCCTGAAACAGCAAACACCCAAACCATTTTACTGTGAGTGACAGCCATGTGCTTTTCTGATGGCACTTTGGAGGAGACAGCCACCAAGAACATAAGGACCATGCAAATAATCCTCTTTCTCATGTTTTCCAAGGGTTTCTGGCACAGGGATTCAAAGCTATCAGAGGTGAAGGACTGGAGTTTGAATTTTAGTGTGCAAGCTGTCCTGCATGCCCAGCAGTGGCAGCAGGTTCCCCATAGTAATGATGCCTCTAAGGGAGAAAGAGGACTGCAGAATATTCTATCATGTCTGGAAGAGGGATGCATGACAGACAGGACCCACACAGCCCCTGAAGGATGTACCTTGCCAGTTTGGATTGGTACTAGCCACAACAGATACATGTCAGGTAAAAATAACATCTACTTCTGTGGATCTGCACAGATTTTACAGTGTGATTTCAGATTTTAAAATTTATTTAAGAAGGTTATTTAAAGGGCAAAGGCCCCCAGTATTCCACATGACCCACAGGGTGCTCTGCCCACGTCAGCGACAGGGGTTGGAACTGGATGACTTTTAAGTTCCTTTCCCTTCCCTGAAACACTCTGTGGCTGTATGATCCCATAGCACTACCACAGAGGATGTGACGCCTTCACACCCAGGTGGTTGTGCATCGCACCGCACAGCGGCACACTGTGAAAGCAAAGGCCAGGGCGGTATTTAGGGATGCCCCCTCAGCTGGCGCAGGGCAGAGAGGACAGGGGAGGAGGAGAGGAGAGGTGGCCGAGCGGAGCAGGCCGAGCGGAGCAGGCCGCGGGCCCGAGGCGTCGCCAGGCGCCACACGCCCGGCGGGCCCCGGGCCGCGCGGGGAAGGGGCCGCGGGGGCCTGCGGAGAGTCCGGAGCGGAGCGAAGGCCGGGCGAGGGGCGGGGAAGGGCCGTGGCGGCGGCTCGGTTGAATCGCTCCGCGGCCGCGGCTCCTCCCAGGGGCGGCCCGGCGGCTGTCGCTGGAGGCCGCGGCAGCGGGGCCCGCGTTTCCCCTGGGGGCAGTGAGAGACCCCCCTCCCCTCCGCCATCGCCTCCCGCCGCCGGGGCTGCGCGGCCGCCGCTGCCGCCGCGGCCCCACAGGGATCCTCTCTCGCTGCTCCTCCTCTTTCTCCTTCACCCTCTCCCCCCACCTTCACCCCCCCGGCTGAGTTCATTCACTGGGATTGGTTTCAAATGACGCCATCGCTTTATATTTACACCAATGACCTCATCCCAGCAGCTTGAAGTTTACTGACCAGCAAAACTCTTTTCTCTCGCTCGTTCCTCTCCTTGTGCCTGCTCTTCCCGGGTGTTTGTAGTCGCTTCTGTCATTCTGGGATTCTAAGGCTTTAAAAAAGAACAAAACAAAAAACCCCAAACAAACAAAAAGACCAAACACACACACACACAAAAACCCCAACCCCCCAAACTTTTTCCCTCCTCCCGAGCTTTTCGGTGTGTGTGTCCCCCTCATCACTGTCCCCTTTTAATTTTTTCAAGCCATCTTGGGAGGGGGGAAGGAGAGGGAAAAGAGAGCTACAAAGCTTCAAATGTTTCCTTTTTCTGCTTCTCTCCCCTCCCACCTTCACGCTTCCCACTCTTAAAAAAAAAAAAAAAGCCGAATATATTTTTTCTTTTCTAATTTTTAAATTTGCTGGGGCTTGGTTGTTGTTTTTGGGAGGGCTTTTTTTTTTTTTTTCGTTTGGGGTCCCCCCCCCTTATTGAAGAAGAAGGAAAAAGAGGAGCTTTCCCAGCGACTGGAAGAAGACAAAGTTGTTTCGGGCGGCAGCGGCGAGGCTAGTGGGCAATTGCTTTTATCCTTGCCGAGGGGACAGGCAGCCAGACTGACAGGGGCGACACAGTAAGTGCCGGAGCAGCGCAGGGGACCCCGACCCGGGGCCGCACCGCGGAAGCCAAGCCGGGAGGGGGGCGAGGGGCGCGGGGGGGCCGAGCCGGGCCGGGCCGGGCCGGGCTGGGCGGGGAGGAGGAGGAGGAGGGGGAGGGAGGTGAGGGAGAGGCGGGCGGCGGGAGCTCTCCCTCCCTCCTCCCGCATGCCCTTCCCCGCCGCCCCCTCACCTCCGGAGGAGAGCGCCCGCAGTGGACAGGTCGCTGCCCCGGCCCGGGCGGGCTCCGGCCGCCTCCGCAGGTGGTAAGAACGGGGGCCGGAGGGAGGGGGAACGGCATAGGCACCGCACGGCACCGGCGGCCGCCCCGCGCTGCCCTCCCTACCTGCTGCCGGCACCCTGCTGCCCGCGGCGGCTCCTGCCTCCCGTCCCTTCCTTGCCCTCCTCCCGACATCCACCTGCCTGTCCCCGTGCGGGGAGGAAGCCGGGCGCCGCCGGAGCGTGGGGCGGGAGGAGGCGCCGCCGGGAGAAGCGATGGGAAGGAGCCCGCGGGCTGCCCGCGGGGGGCTCGGCGCTGCCCGTGAGGCGCGGCGTGCGCGGCTGCCCTGCTAAACTTAGCCCCGAGCGCTGGCTCCGGGCGGGCTGCGCAAAATGGTCGGGGATGCTTTAAAGCCCCGGAGGGCTCCCGAAGAAATGCTGAAGTTCTGCCTTCGCCTTGGAAAACGTTTAAATTGAGGCGGCTGACAAAATGGAGGGCTGCCGCGGCGTCCAGGAGGGAGGCAAATTGTTAACCTGGCATCGCGCTCGCCTGAGCTCCCGGCCCGGGGCTGGCGCCGGGACGCGGCCTGACAGATCCCCGCTCCCGGCTTTGTCCCCCCCCCGGCCGGGATGCGGGGCTGAGCGCGCATCACCAGGTGTATGGGATGTGCCTATTGCCGAGCCTGACCAATGGCAGGATTTTCCAGCGGCCAAAAACATTTGGTTACATGTCAGATGAGGAGCTGGGATTTTAAACTTTTTTTTTTTTTAATTATTTTGATTTTTTTTTTTTTTTTTAAAGAAACCCAGGAGAATTTACTTTCTTTTACCGTCATTTCAGCTGGTTGAAATATAAAAACAATTTCTTTGGTTTTCCTTCAAATGAAGGGTGTTGTGATAGCGAGCTATATTGTCTGACCTATGACTAATTTTTCTGTTCAAACATTCAGTGTATACCCAGCAGAAAAAATAGATCTGTGCTAGTTTTGAAGCCTAAAAGCAGATTGAACTGCTTCTCTTTGCGGGGATATTTGTTGGGGTTCTTAAAAGAGAAAACCCCAACCAAAACGCGAGAATGATTTTGTAATCCTTGCTGAGATTTATTCTATTCCTGGCAGTGTGTGGTTTGGTAGATACAGAGTTTACAAAGTCACAACTGACCAAACGGGAGTTGGTTTAGACTCTTGTGTTTTGATGAGAGGTGGAAAAATAGTAAGTCTTAATTTCTTTTTATGGTGTTCATCCCACTGCCCATTGGAGATTGAAACATTCATCACAGTTGTTTATGTTGGTTGTCTGGGAGTTTCTGCTTGAATGTGGACCGAAGTATGCAGCAGGGAGGTGTACATGTATTTTTAGCTTTCTTTTTTAATTATAAAAGATACAAAGAATAGTGATACAAGTAAATCTTGCATTTACTATGCTCATTAATATTTTGAGGATGGAATCTATAAGAAATATCTGAGTTGTAGTAAGTTCCACTTGTTGTGCTTGTTTAATACAATAGTGCTTTAGTAAATCTTAATACACAATTTAAAAGTCCATTTTTAAATGGACAAATATATAAAAGCAGCAGAGAATGTATCAGTTCTTGTGCTACAGATGGTAGCTTCAAAATGCTTTGGTTTAATACATATGGGAAGGTCCAGAAAAACAAACCAAGCATTTCAAAATGTAACATGTTGTATGAAGATACCTGAGCACATTCCTGCTCCAGTAGCTCTGCTTTTGTTAGCTATCCAGGCAGATGTAATGGAACAAAATCACACCAGAAAAACTTCTGTAGAAGATAGCGAGCTCAGTTATCTTTGTTTCTGTAAAAATGCACGCTCCTCTTCCAGCCAAGACAGCTGGCCGGGCAGGGGTGTTTGTTTTTAGCTTGGCCTGACCATAGGGACGGTATCGGCAGAAGCTGTGCAGGAATGTGTTAAATGGATTTCGCTGGGAGCTCTGTCTCCCAAGGCAGCCCCGGCGGGATGCCAGCCCCGGCCCGTGGGAGGAGTTGTGGTTGTATCTGCCATGTGCCTGTGCACCTTCCTTGGCAGATCGACTCTGCCCTGCGAGCTGCGTGCTGCGCTCACAGGGCAGTGAAGTCATACGGAGTCACTGGCAACTGGGCGTGAGATGGGCCAGTCGCTGCTCTGCCTATCAGATAAGAGATTCACGTCTGCCGAAGCCCTCGGGGCTGAATTCAGGCTCTCTCTGTAAGGCCGGCCTTCGTAAGAAATGTCAAATAGACAAGTTAGATGTTGGCTTCTGTTGCTTTATCTTCAAGTGCTCTGCTCCAACGCGTTGGGCAGTAAGAGGTGTGTGCGGGGTGAGGGCTTTGCTCCGTCACCTGGGTTTTTAGAGTGCAATGTCATAATCCTCACACCGATTCAGCAATATTCACTGTTTTCAAAATGCAAATTTGCTAAGAAATACAGTAAGTACAGCTGAAGTATTTTTTCCCCCGAAGAAAAAGGAGGCAGCAGGATGATAGCTTTCACTTTGTAGTATGTCAGCTGAAATTTCTAGGACTAATTTTTCCTTTTTCCTTTCTGTAGAAGTAGTCAGGAAAGCATCATGGATATTCTTCAAGTGCTGACAGTCCTTAATAGCCAGATGGCATGGAGTAGTTACTGTCAAAGGATGAGGTGTGGAAGGATTGACACATCCCTTCCTTTTTCTTTTCCACATTTTTTTCCAACCTTTGAAAGAAACATGGGTTTGGTCTGTGACTCCACTCAATCTGCCCCTATGGATTTGTTGTTATGATAGTGACTAAATGCTTCTTGCAGTCTTGTAGTATTTTGTGCATGGTTGTGTAATGCTAAATCCTTGATTCTTTAAGAATTTTCAAGAAGCTGGTTTTCTTGGTAATAGGGAAGAAAGTGTGTCCCTAATGTGTCAAATGGTACATTCACTTTCCCTACAATTCCTTAGGGATGGCTTTCAGAATGAGTATTGTGACATGGAGGATTTCTGAAGAATATTTTAAATACTGATAAATATAAAACAGTATTGCTCATATATTTGTGGTTTATTTGTATTCTCCTCATAAACAAAGTAGTGTATCATCCTTTAGGGCTGCCAGTTGCATACATGGCCTCTACTCTCTGCACAAATCAAAAGCCACAGGTGATGGATGGCCTGGTGTCCGGATGTTGTTCTAGACTACAGCTATTAACTGACTGAAGACCAGGGGTCATTTGCAAGAAAGTGAAGTGAACACTAAGTTCATGCTGCTTCGTAGTTGTTTCTTGGGGGACCCTATCCCCAGGAATTTATCAGTATTGTAATAGTATTGTCACCCCGATACTAAAGCCAATAGAGATCAAACTGCCTGTGGAGCAAGGGAGGAGGCTGGGATGCCCTGTGCTCCTGCAGTATTCCTGCTGTCTGAGGACAGGCACGGCAACAGGGCAGCTCGTATCACCACTTCTCTGCTCCACTGTGTCTGATCTTTGCATTGGTCTTGTCAGCTCCAAACAGCAAATCTCTATTAGCAAATAGAGAAATAGAGAAAAAAATACTAGCAAATCCTGTAACTCTTGAAGCAAGCAAAAAATATATATTAATGGTCAAGTTTGGCATCTTAACTTCTAGATTTGCCTAGTTTTAACCTGAGCAGTTCTTGGTGTGCCCATGGGTAGGGCCTGCTGGCAAGTACCATGGTCTCCAGCGGAGATGGTGTTGGGCGCCAGTGAATTTCTGCTCAGGGCTCAGAGCAGACCTGCATTTAGGGGGTGTGTATGGAGGGCAAGAGCAAGATGGGTGTGAGTTCAAGGCCCTGTGCTTCCTTCTGCTGCACTCTGTGGTCTGCTGCTGAGCCAAGAGTGTTCTACTCGGAGCTGGCTCTGGGAAGGCTGGCAGCCTTCCATGTTGTGTCCCTATGAAGTGCTCCGGCAGCTGAAAAAAAACCCACCAAAATTAATAATTGGGCAAGCTAGGAAAGAGGGGAAAGAGTGTTGTTTCAGTGATGGGAGGTTTCCAGTGGGGCTGCAGGGATTCAGTGGGAACATTCCCAAGCTCCCTTGGTGCTGCTTTTCTGTGCTTTCACTGTCCCAAGCTGGAAGGTATCAAAGGAACTCCTGAAACAAGGTTCTTCTTTGAGGGGAATTTAGTTATCTCTTCTCTTTCCTGGTTACAATATGATGCTTATGTTGCCAGTGACTTACACAGCTTCTCTCTAATTGCGTTTTTGGAACTAATTTTTCCCTGTGCTGTATGAGTTTTCATGCTGTTCCTCATAAACTAGGATCAGTTCCTTGCTCAGACCTCCTCAGGTACATTTGCACTCTTCTTTGCTTTCAAGCTGAAGATATAAACTTCTGTCATTTGTTTAGCAAATGAGGACACAAAAGTTTGTATCTTTGTATAAAAGAGATGTGCGGAAGCTTTCATTAGTTGAGAATAAATATAAATTTTTTTCCCCATCAGATCTTTTTGCACGCTAGTCAGAGTGATGGTCTGCTAAAATAGTATGAAAAAATTCTTCATAAAATCGTAGTGGAACTGTGTTCCATTACATTAGTTTGGCAGAAAATTGACACATTTTCTAATATTGAGGCTGAAATAACATTACCCATTTTCATTCTACTTCACTTGATTTTTGCTTTGCTAAAATGGTCTATGAATTGAGCCTGTTGACTAAATGATAGATCAGTGGCTGTACAGAGACTCTCTTTTTACATATCCCTGCCTGCTTGTCTAGCGTTTTTACGTTAGTGAAGTCAATGTGGGAGGCAAAAAGATGGGTCTGAGTGTGTAATGTAGCAACACTGGAATGAGAACTTTATAGAGAGCATGAACTGAGGAGGACAACGGGGACTAATTGTATGAAATTCCTTTTATGCACACGTTCTTGAGTTTGAATAACTAGTATGTATTCAGCCTGCTGGATTAGAAGGCTTTGGCTCTGCATGTGTAGCATAGATGTTGCTCTCAAAATAGGAAAGGAACTCTCCCTCCTCCCACGCTATTCCGGATAAAATTGATTCAGTGCTGCATTTTGCTCCTACTGAACCCCTAGTAAAGCATGTTTAGGCTTTACAGTTCTGTTTAGGCTGAATAGTTCATAGTGTTAGAGATATAAATGCCACACTTTTAATAGCCCATGTATCATTTTTGCTTCTTGATTGCTAGCTGTAAGAATCATTCATCCCAGGCTTTGTAGACTCAAATCCCATGCCAGAACTTGGGTTTTTACCTGCAAGATGGTCCTTGCAGGGGCTTGCCTTTCTCCACAGTGCATATTTCACTAAGTTTGTGCAGTCCTTCAAGCAGGACAGGCACCCATCTTCTAAAGACCATCTTACAAATACATGCAGAGTCTGAGCTACGCTTCACAGGGCTTCTCTCAGCCATCCTGCCACTGAAACAAGCCTTAATGTCAGAGGTGGATTGAAATCACCTGCAGAACAGGCAGGGGGTTACTTTCTGCTCATTCTATTAATGCTACCTGGAATAGGTATAGCACCTATCACCTATCCCGTTCCCACAGGTGTTTTGTTACAAGTGCTTAGGTGTTGGGGTTTCATTCCTCCCTACTTGAAAATTCATACTTGGGACACAGTGTTTTCTCTTGCTTTCTAGCTTTGCTCTCCCTGACTTTCGTGGGAGTCTGAACTCTGGAAAACTGGGAGGGAAGAGAGGTGGAGAGGGAAGAAACTTTGTGTTACA